GCTGAACAAGGCGAGGCTCTAACTTCTCATATTGTAAATCATTTTCACAGTCTATTGTGACACATTTTTCACCAACTTTGTGCTTTTTTTTTTTTTTTGGTAATTTCCATTCTAGAATGGCTGCAGTGCTGTCCAGTGTTCACAAGGACAGGAAGGTTGGGAGTGCTTTACACATGGGAGAAAATCTGTGTGTTAGATGAGCTCCATTCAGGTGTGAGTTCAACGTTAATCAACCAACAATATATACTACATGTCTTCAAACATGAACACACATAAAGCAAGGTCGTATGTAGATCAAATGATGAAAACAAGACCTAAACACGACCAGAGGCTTAAAGAAACCTAACCCTGTGTTTGCTGCTAGGAGCAATGGTTCAATATTCACTAGTTCAATATTTGTGGCAACTTTATAGATCATAGTTACAGCAAACAATAAGAGTATAAATAATAATAAAATTAATTTATTTTTGTGTTTTGCTTTATAAAATGAATATAAAACATACAAAATTATATGTTGTATACATATAAATTTATATATTGTATACACATAAAATAATTTCATACATATTATTTTATATTTTATAAAATATATGATATATATTAAATATATGAAACATTCATAAATATAAAATATTTCAAATAAAAATGAAAAGGGAGGAAAACCAATATGTAGAGTATGTATTCACTAGTAAAATATGTAAAAATACAAATTTATATATGCATATTAATATGCTTACATGCACAAATTTTCTCTGGAAGGATAGAAATGAAATATAAACATGGTTAAAATAGAAGAAAGTATTACAGAGAAGACTTACATCCCATTATATACCTGAATTTTGTAACAGATGTAGTGTTTAAACATTACTTCTTTCACTCATTCGTTAAAAAATAAACAATGAAGCCAAAGTCCCTTTCTTAGACAACCTCATGGGTGAGCGTTCATTCATTCACCTATGAAATGGATATTTATTTGGAGTCTGTTAGTGCTCCTGGGTGCTGGGGACACAGCATGAGTGCATATGGAATGTGCAGGATGAGGTGTCGGTGGGAGCATCCAAGTGGAATATGCAGGAGGCAGCTAGCGATGCTCATGTGTAATCGATTCCAGTCCCTCCGCAGAGGCCTTTGATCATTTCTCATCGACTGTTACAGAATGAATGACCGCGGCTGTTGAAATGTAGCCCTCAAAGAGAGGTGGTGACACAGAAGTGGTGATATACCAAGGAATCGCTTCAAATACATGCTTCTCAACTGCTGAGAGTGATGGGACGGGTTCAATGGAATGAAAACGGAATCATCACTTATCAATGTCAGGGGAAAAAGCTTTGTCGGTCTGGTGGATGGTGTCAGAGTGTATCTACCAAGAATACCAAGTGTTCCCATTGTCCTGTTCTGATATCGGTGACTTTGAATTCAACTGGATATCTTACATGGGTTTCATCTGCATTATGGTTTCAATCACCTGATATTACACATTGCCTATTCGCTACCTCTTGGAGCCCCTAACTATATTCTAACAATTTTTAAATTAAAATAAAATATAGCTCCAAGCTCCTGTAAAAGGTAATTGCCCAGCCTCTTATAAAACGTCTTGGTTCCAACAGGACGTTGCTATATATCATGTAATTTTAGTCAGTATTGAGCCCTCTGAGGCTTTGTTTCCCTGTTGTAAAATGGGACACTGGGTGCCCACATTGTCCCAAAGACTTATGAAACTGCAATCACATGGAGTATAAAGGGCTTTGGCTAACTCTTTATTAATGCTTAATATTGTTATTATTGCTATTGTGCTGATAACAAGTTAAACATTTGCTTAAAAGACGATTATGTTTCTCAATTTCAAATGGTCGATGAAAGCTTACTTCGAAAAATTAAACTCATATTGTGATCATCGCTAAAAGAAGTTCTCATGATATTTTCAGAAAAGAAAAAATAAAGCACTGAGCATGCGCACTCTAAATATGGATCACAGCTTCCAGGCGCCATGGGTACCCTTTCTGAGAGGAGACGCTCTCAGCAGGCTTCTGAGTCTTGGGTAGAGTTAATACCCACTGCTTTCAGCATCTCTTCATTCTCAAGCATAGGTCATATATTTAAGAGTTGAGGTTTCAACACCCTTTAAATTATATGCGTGTGATTGCAGATTTATGCTTTTTCATCTTGGTTCTATTGCTTTATTCAGCTAAAATTCACTATGCTTCGTTTAAGGAAGAAACATTTGAAAAAAAGAGGGGGGAGGGAGGTATGGAGAGTGAGACTAATGAAAATCTTATCAGCCAATTCTGATTTATAAAATCCTGATAGGGACTCTAACTCATTTCACACCATGGAGAGAAACTACCTTTCTTTTTCTTTTAATGTGTCATTCAACCAAAAAAAAACCACAAATAAAACAAAACAGTTAAGCTTAAGTTTTAAAATATACGCTTATCAAAACACATCACATGCATAAAAGGCTGTGCAGGCCAACAACAGAGAGCCGGGCTCCTCTTGCTTCCCCAGCAACCCCAGCAGGCGCACGTGCCAAGGCGATCGCTACGTCTAAGTTCTTTATGGCTCAGCAATATGATGTTCATATGCACGCTTTGGCCAAAATGCAGCTTGGATTCAAAACGAAAGAGGGAAAATAAAAAGGAGGGAGTGCGCCAAGTTTTGAGAGAAATATGAGCGAAGCATGAAGCTCCCTAGTGGTCTTGTTTCTCTCATCTTTCTCACCTCCTACATTCGGCTACTTTAAAAAAAGGGGCACAAAAGAAAATTTAACAAAAACTACGAATATATGTTCAGTAACCAACTAGAGATAACCAATTAGTATGCTTTAAAAAAAAAAAAGTATGTTTTTATTGATTTCAGAGAGAGACAGAGGAAGGGAGAGTGAGAGAGAGATAGAAACATCAATGATGAGAGTTATTAATCGGCTGCCTCCTGCATGCCCCCTGTTGGGGATCGAGCCCACAACCCGGGCATGTGCCCTGACCAGAAATTGAACAGCAATCTCCTGATTCATAGGTCAACGCTCAACCACTGAGCCATGCTGGCCAGGCCAAATTAGTATTCTTCATAATGCATGCACAAAAATAAAATTATCACATGTTGGCATAAATTAGAGATAGCTAAATTATAGAGACTTGGAGTAAACAGTTAAGTCAAACACTTATGCATCAGTTATAGTTGGCGCCGATAACTTCTAAAACTGTTACAGAGTTATGCCCTTCCATTCCTCACTTTTCTTAAATGTTCAAAGCTCAGAAAATTGACTTTTGCAGATGCCAACCCCAGAGTGGCCCAGCCATGAACAGGTACCACTACAATGATTCCCTCCTCACTGAAACCCTTCCTAACTCTGGCTTCCATTACAATAGCCTCTCTTGGTTTTCCTCCGACCTCTCTAAATAATAATACCTGTGGGGGCTTCTCTGTCCATCGTATAAATGCTATTCCCCAGAATTCCTAGGTAACCACACCTACTCAATAATCGTGTTGCTTGTATGTCCAATCCACCGTCTAGAAATTCCATCTGGGTTTCAAAATTTAACTTTGCTATTCATTCCAAAAATGACTAAGATATAGTTATAAAGAAAATGCCAATGCCTGGAGTCCAAAAATGCATACGGAGAATATTATATAATAAACCATACATAATGTGAACAACTCTTTGGGTGACATTGGCCAACACTTTAGATGCGAAAGCCGGCAAATTGTTTGGCTTCTTTTAACGAGTCATAGAATTAGAGCTCCTTTCTTCCCACAGACAAACAAAAATTCCATCCTTTTACCTACATAGTTTTGTAAAATTACAAGTTCCTGATCCTAAAACCACAGTGAATGGAAAAGGCAAGACTCATTTTTATTCACCGTTAAAGAGTGGAGTGAGCTTACAGGGTCCTCTAACATGTAACCACAGGACCATGATTTCAGTCACAGGACCACTTAGGAATCAATGAGCATTTTCCACTTTAAGTCATGAGAACCCGAAAACTTGGAAATGACAACCACTTTGTGATTTATGAATCTATTTCATATTCTGTTTCTTATTTGATGTTCTGTTTCGATCTTCATGATTTTATTAAATGATTAAATAGTCTTTTCCCACCTAAAACAAAAAAGCTGTCCTTAATGTTTAGTCAAACTCCAGCATATCTCATTCATTGTAAGTCATCATTAATGACACTTGAATAAGCTATAAATCCGTAGCCTAACAGACAATGAAGTGCATGTGTCCTCAGGCTCATGCCATGTCGGCCTCCATGAGAATCCCCGAAACAGCCAGAACTGTCCCAAACCATGAAAGGCCACAAATCTGATCTACAGAAGAGATGGGACATTCCAAAGAGGAAATGCTTTGAGTAGCGAGCGCATGGAACTAATTGTAAGTTTCAGTGATTTCAAACAGCAATAATTTTAATAGATTTCTTTTCTCTTTAGACAAATTGTTTCCTTAATATCTTCTGAAATGTCTCATCCCTGCTTAACTCAAAGGAATATAGAAAAAGCCCATGAGATAATATTGGCAAAGTTTTTCAGCTCCTTGGAAAAAAAGGTGTTAAGTATCCAGAAGAATTTATATATCCTATAAAAACACGGCATATCATGTTTTAAAGGTCTGCAAAACATGAACATACTTTGTTTTTGGATGCAATATTTTGACAAACTAAATAAATACCAGGTTGAACTGAGGTCATAAGCCCAACTAAACTTAGAAGGATATCTAATTTTCTATCAAAGTATAACAATTTGAAAGTCTTTCTAAATATGAGCTATTTTAACCAATATCTACTATATGTGCCATCATGAAAAACGGCAATAATGAACATTACTCACAAAATAGCATATTGAACAAATTGCTAGTCTCTCGCAACCGTGTGAGTCATGATTAAACATAATTTGTTTTTCTGTGATGTCAAGCCCTTTTAAGCCAATGTGTGTATTTTTTTTCTCTAATGCCTTTCCCCCTCTGCTGAACAGGGAGGGAAACGTGAAATCTCTGCAGAGCTTACCTTGGATAATAAATCGCTCCATGTTTTCCTTGAAAGGCTGGATGTGCTCTTCTGAGGAGACCTGGTACACCTTCCCCGCTTCCAGCTCGCAGGCTGCAATTAGAGACACGCTGTTTACAGCACCGTCGATGGAGCGTTAAAACAACTTCAAAACCCTATTAGCTAAAGTTAGACTCTCCTGTTAACCACAATAATTGACATATGTTCTCCATCTATGTTGGAAACATCCAAACACTGACATGAGATGCCTATAACCAAGGCTGCATCTGAGGGGACTGTAAAAATAAATTCTAAGAACCTGTGACTCTAGTTCGGTCACTTCCACAGTGTGTCAACCTGGACAAGTTACTCAACCTCTGAGCCTCGGGCCCATCTGTCGAATGGAGGACCCTGGCGCCTGCCTCTCAGGGTTGTTATGAGGATTGAATCAGTTAATAGATGGAAAGTGGTCAAATAGTTATTATTATCAACTGACTTCTAATACAAGTTCATCCCCAGTTAAAGTCCAAATTTCTGAAAAAGAAATAACTGGTGCTAAGGTTAGTAGAGCAACCAATCGATATGGCGCCTCCACTACAAGGCAGGTCCTTTCACCTGTTATTTAACTTAATGTTTAGAATAGATTAGTAAGTGGATATTATCACCCTGTTACAGGTGAGGAAATTAAGGTTCAGGGAGGGCACTAATTTGCTCAAGGATCCAAGACACTAAGCAGCAGATTTCTAAGTGGAATCCGATCTGACTCCAAGGTTTATGGCCTTCCTAGGCCTCGTAAATGCTTTAGCGATCTATAGAGCCCACTGGGCTTCATTAAGAAGGATTTCTAAGAAAGTTTCTGAAGAATTTTCTGCCCTTTTGCTGACAGTGAGCAACCTGGGCCTGAAAAAAAAAATACTTCAAAATTGAAAAGCATATATTTGAAAGACAAAACTTAGGACAGATACATGTCTGACTGAGGTAGACAGCGCTCACTGCAATTCTTAAGGCCGCCAATTCTTCGAGGAAACTTCGTCATTGCACTCTTTAAAATATTTTCTGTATCTTATAAAACTGTATTTCCCTTTTCTTTCCCCTCCAGGTCATTTTCTGTATCTTATAAAACTATATTTCCCTTTTCTTTCCCCTCCAGGTCAAACTGTATTTCCCTTTTCTTTCCCCTCACAGGAGAGTACAGGAGGGCTGTACTGTCCCCATCAAATGGAAAACACAATCAGATGCAATAAAATTTAGAACCAGTGACACACACCAAGGGTCTCTCTACCTATGTCCCCTGCACTCCTCACTCTCCTGAGCAGCCTCTCACGTGCTGGTGGGTGTCCAATCCACATCTCTGGTCCAGGTGTTTAGTAGCCTCAGACTCATATGTTAAACTTTTGCAGATATCAAACACTCAGCATTTGCAATACAGACCTCATCAGAGCCTTCTCTAGCCTCACTACCGCCATGAAGCTATTCTCTCTCCATTGGTGGTACCATCATCTACCCTAAATAACTTAAACCAAGGCAGGAGTGTTATTCTTGACTCCCTCTCCTTACCCAACATCCAGGTGCTATTACCCCCTAAATGCTTCTTAAGCCTGCCCGTCTGCTCCATACCTGCTCCATTCTGGTACCAATGCCTGCATTGTTCTCACCTGGGCTTCCTGTCTCCCACCCTCCACAGACCCACGCTCCTCCTCACAGCTTAAAAAGAGACTTGACCACTTACCTAACACTGTTCAGTGACCTCTTCCCACTCAGCCACACATCCTGAATAGAGGAACAGTTTCAAAGCCTGCGATATGAAGTCTGGCACCTTCCACATCCAAGGCTCACCCAACTTCCAAATCGTCTACCTCTACTCCTGATATTTGGCAGACCCAGCGCAAGCTCTCGTCTCCATTCCCTTGCTCCTGTTGGCTCCTCCACTTGGAATGCCTCTCTCCTGACTCCCACCCTTTAACTCACCAATTCCCGTTAGTACTTCATGACTTGACTCGGGTGTAACTGCCCAAAAAAGTAGTCCCTCACCTCCCTATGTCTTCTTTTTTTCACTCCCTGCCTGTCACGTGTCTTGGTGTTTCTAGTAATGTCCATTCATCTCTCTGCCAAGCATCTTTTCTCCCTCTCTCTCTTTCTCTCTCTCTCTCTCCGGTGCATCCCTCTGGAGTGACACTTTTTGCTTTTAAGGTATTTCAGATTCACCATAGACAGTTTGGACCTTCCGTGAGTCACAGAATTCCACTCTCTAGGACAGAGGAGGACCCTCATCTCCCATCACTCTTTAGTTACTCCACTTTTATGCCAGTACTTAGAACATTCCCTGGCAGGCAACAGGCATTCAACAAAGACCTGTGGAATGAATGGAAAGATGAATTGGACTCTCCTTTCCATTAAGTCCATTCATATGAACTTATTAATTTGGAAAATGTATCCGTTGAAATTATGCACGCTATTGCTCTACCTGACATGCTCTTACCCTTTATGATCGACTGTTGAACCCTGACTTGTCCATCCGTACACAGTTATTGCAGCAAGGTTCAAGCATCACCCTAGGCCAAGAGGGTCGATCTCTCCCTGCACTTTGATCTCCCTCTTCTACAGAACACATGTGTGAATGATACAAGATCGAAGGGAAGATGTGACTAATATAGATCTGGATTCAGATCCGGTTCTACTAGTAGCCACGTGATCTTGGGCCAGTCCTTAAATTATCTGAGCCCCAACTTCCTCAACTAGAAACTGAGCTGATGAAGGCAGGGCACTTTGAGCGATAAGCGCTGAGCTGACTGTTAAGTTCCCCAAAAATGATAGCTGTTAATGATATTATCTTATTGCATTTATTTGTTTATGTGTACTCTGATTATAATTTGCATTCCACGAAGTTACCTCTGTGTGCCTAGTGTTTGAAATACAGAAGAAGCATTTATACCTTGTGAAAATAACTATTTTCAACTATGCCGATGACCATGACTTTCCTTAGTCTGGGTACTAAGCCTCCAGTGGTGGGTCACATAAAACACCATGTAAATCTTAAGCCAAGTGCACACACCTAAGCCCAACCCAAATCACTAAAGCTCTTCACTGTGATATATAACAGGAACAATTATTTGCAGATGACTGTTGCTTTATTCATTATATTCAGAAGGAAAAGCCTGTTGGATAACTATAATAATAAAATGTAAAGATCTAGAGTTTGTATAACTTATACATGTATACTTCTTATATATACGTATATATTCAATAATATATATGAATATGTTGAACAAGGAAATTTATAGGGTTGGACCCATTTTTCTCTTAGCAATAGGGCATCTTGGTGTAAAATATCATCCTGGTCATTACATATCATCTTCAAAATTGGTATGTGGCTATGTGAATTTTTTTAGAAAAATACCAAACACTGTAATCTCACAAACTTGAAGGGTCATTTAGTAACATTATTAAAAACATAACATAAGATAAGAGTTCCTGGAAAACCGCATTACAGTCAAATCCAAATATTTTTTTAATCTGTTAAAGGCTGTTGGCATAACTTGAGTAATTCCAATCATGTTGGCTTTTGTTTAATTTAAAGACCTTCTTAATCTGAAAAGATTTTGCATTGTGCAAACGGGCTAATATTGGAAAACATGAGCTAGGCTCCCAAATACAAGGACAAATTTAGCCAGAGGACAGGAATAACAAGTGTCTCGGATGTTCCCACTGGAAAACGGGTTCCAGTATATCAGTGCCATCGCAGGCTGGCACAGTTGGGGGCACAGCGGAAATCATCTTATCCCCATTTGATTAAAATACGAACATCACACACCACTCTCTGAAATGAACCATGATCATGAGGGTTCTGGTTATTTTTCTAGGGAAGTGAAATAGTCCAGCTGTAACTTATATGTCTGCAAGTTCCATCAATCCATGTTAAGCAGTTTAGAGTCATGTCTTTCTGTGAGCTTCCAGAAGGTTTCACTGGCATCCATAAACCTGCCTCATCAAGTTTCAAGGGAGGCACACAACAGACACAAAGAACAAAGAAGCCTGATTATATCAGAAATTCTTTCTCCCAAACTCAACTGCTGCCAAAACCAACTGCTATTTAGAGCGGATCAGTGCAGTCAATGAGACGCTTACAAAGCAGCTGTAAGAGCAGAGACCGGGCCCATCCACACCTGGTCTGCAGGAACCGCTCCCTGAACAAAACTGCAGAATTGGTCCTCGAGGGGAGGTGTTCTCTATGCCACAGTCGGGATGTATGCTGTATGGTGGCTGCCACAGAGTCAACTGTGGCTTCAGACTCAAAACTCACCTGCTCAGTCAGCACCATGAAATACACTGTCCCCCTGTATCTACGCTATGGCTCTCAATACCACAAACCAACCTACTGATATTTCCCATATGGTTCTAGAATTCTCAATATGTCCATCCTTAACCATAATGTCTTCAAAAATGTACAAGTTGTGCAAACATTTAGATTTGTACTAACACTATTTAAGATTAATTCTACAACTAAAATGGTATAATGCCTCAAGTATAAAAATTATTTGCATAAAACTGAAAATATTATACAGTGTACCATAAATACTACATATATGAACTGATCCAGAGCAAAACTCTGGTATTTTCTAAGGATATAATATAATCACACCTTTAGAACTAGCTGATAATGTTTATTGAGGACTTAAGTGACTGTCACAGAAGCTTATATAGGATCTTGATAATACTGGCAGGGTGCCTGGCTTCATATTGGTTGTCCCCCCAAAATGTCATTAAATGATGACTTGAAGTCTCACTGCAGGCTTCTAAGACTCCCCTGGAAATCTCAAAGACTCTTTGAGAATCTCTGGAGTAGTATTGTCCTATAGTCCCCAATATCTTCCAGTTCCGATATGCAGTGATGCTGGATGGGAATGACTGATACAGCAGGTGTTCCTAGGCATGAAGGACATTAGCAAGTGCCCCACACACTCAAGCTGCAGCGAGTGACATCCCTCAACAGATGCCACTGAGGCTGCTAGTTGCTTTAGGAATGGTGTCTTGCTAGCGGGCTCCACTATGGTGTAAAACTCATTTGTGAATTTAAAGATACGTAAAGATAAATCATAGCATTCCCAAGAGCAAAA